GGAAACTGATGTGAGATTATTAGCCCTCAGATGACGGAGTAGTGAGAGCTCTAGAGTGGCAGTCGGTATCCTCCCAGCCTAACCACGGAATTAGGGAACAAACTCTGGATTAGTCAATGTTCTTTATGCACTCGGAAGAGAGTAAAGAGTAGAAGTGCTCCTATTTGGCACAAAACTGTTTTTATATATTTTTTCAAATAATTTTAATTTCTTCACAATCCATATATTCATTGTAAATGGTATGGATTCTTTCTTAAAATTGAACTTTCCATCACAAAAATTTGTTAGTTTTCGTAAGTTTACTTTTGAAAGATTAGCATTTAGCTTAGTTAACATTGTCTTTCAACTGCATTTTAATTAGCATTCACTTGTTACTTAATATTCAAATTTCACACTTTACTTTTTATAGTTTTAAAAATTGTGCTTTACATTATAATTTTAAGAATTTACTTATAGACATTTCCAACTTCCCTGTGGGTTTGATATCTAGGACTCTATTAGAGTCCTTTATTATTTAAGTGATATGTATACTTGCATTATTTTTAAAGGGGATTTGACAGTTTAAATATTTTTTAAAGATAAAACTATTTTAATTGAAGTTATTTTTATTGGGATTAATTTTTATATTTGTTATTGTATCTGTCGCGTGTATTTTGTAATATTGAAAAATATTTACAAAATTAACACATTAAATCCACCCTACATCAGGCAGGTTCTCGAAGGTTGAGTGTGTTATAGAGATAATGAGTCAGAGGGTGGATGTGCTATAGAGACAGTGACCCAAAGGGTGAGTATGCCATTGAGGCAGTGACTCAAAGAATAAGTTTTTCGTGGAGATGGTGACCTAGAGGGTAGACGTGCCATGGAGGCACTACCCTAAGGAATGGGTGTGTCATATAGATAGTGACCCAGAGGGTGGATGTATCGTAGAGACAGTTATCCCGAGGGTGGGTGTGTCGTGGAGGCAGTAAACCGATAGGGTGGACATTCCATGACCTAGAGGGTGGGCTTATCATGGAGGAAGCAACCCTAAGAATAGTTGTGTCATAGAGACAATGACCTAAGAGGGTGGACGTTCCGTGGAGGCAACACTCTAAATAAATGGATGCACCACAAGGGGCATTGGCTCAAGGGAATGACGATCCTCACTAGGTAAACTTATACTATTGGTGTGAGTGTATGAATGGGCACTCAAAATGTAACTCAATCATGCAAGTGACATTAATGCACATGCAAAATACACACTATGCAAGTGAAGTTGGTTGTTTGACCCGCTAGGTCGATCGGGGAGCATACTGTAAGCTCTCTTAGCTATGTGATTTCTACCCATCAGGTTATGGTTATTCACCCTCTGTACGGTGGATTAGCTCTACCCAAATGACTAGAGAATCTCCTCTTACTTAGATTACAATCAATTTTTTTGGCTTCCTATGTTTCAGGACTATTTAAGCAAACATAACACCTTCTATTGTGAGTTTTCTACTATATTCCCCATGATGTAATTAATCATGGGAATATGACATTATGGGGGAGGTCTCTATAAAAATTAAACTAGTGAGCCAAGTCAAATGAAATTTTAACCATAAACACTTAATATGATAAATATATATGCCAATAAAATAAAAATATTTTATTAACTAAAATATTTTTGAAATTTAAAATCCTAATATTAAATACAATCTTAAATAAGTCATAAATTAAGCAAGTTAGCTCCAAATGAACTATAATTTTTACAGGAAAATTAGAAAGTCATTCCAATTAAGATGTATTTTGTTAGGCACTTTTTTACTTATTTTAAATTTTGATTGATCAAATAATTTTCATTAAATAATAATAAATCAAAATTATGAAATAATTCATAAACTTCTGAATCTTCTAAAATCGGTGTTCAGATTGATATTTAGGTTAGAAAGTAATTTAATGAGGATTTAGGGTGATTTAAAGAGTTTCAACTTTTGAAATGCGCATACTAAAGAATCCAACAATCCTTAACAAAAGATTAATCTCTTTAAAGTCTTAATCAAACACCATAACCTCAAAAGAATCTTAAGAATATGAAGTTAAACAAAAAAAGTTAACATAAACTAATGCTAATTGATATCAAATTAAATTCAAACTAATAACAAATAAAAAATTTAAGGCTTAATGCTTTAAGTAGATTCTAAGTTTAAAATTACAAACTGAAGGCATTCTCAAACCCAATTGAGAAACTTAAATTTAACCTTCCTTTTTCTTAACACCATCATGACTTCACTCACTTATATATGGATGGTGTTTATGGAAGTTTGGTAAGTTGTTGAACTTGATTGACTTCAATCGACTTAAATTGAATTGAGTTGACTTTGGTAAAACCTTGATCAATCTATAGGCCAAACTATGTTGAAAGGTAATCTCAAACTATATCAAAGTTTAGGTTAAACTAATATCAAACTTAGGATTAAATCAATCCAATGATTAGTTCAAACTCATTTGAAACTATATTAACCATAAATTCAACTTTAATTTAACTCAAATACAAAAGTCAAAATAAATGCTAAACTCCACAAATCAAAACACACACACACACACACACACACACACACACACACATATAATCAAATCACCATAATTATTTAGGTTAATGTATCTCACTTTTTTTAGTGAGATGCTCCACCTTATTTGGAACAAGCACTATATATGAACCACTCACTTGTAAAAATGAAACTTCAAACCAAAACCACAACTCAAATAGAGGAGCCAGAATGTCTACCTCACATATCATAGTACTATATAGCTTGCTAAGGCACCAACCTAGTTTTGTTTAAGTCGATGACATATTATCTGTTCTATGCTATGATTATATGCAGATAGAATGAGTTTGTGTTTGTGTTTTTGTTATTGTAGAATGACTTTTAGAATGGTTGCTATTTACATAGACAAAATGTTAAGTTGATTTATTTTAGTATGACAATGTTTTTTACAAGAGATGGTAATAAATTAAAAGCTAAAGAGGGCATATAATTAAATTAAAATAAAATATTTTTTGTATGTGCTTGCTTTGGTAGCTTTTGCCTTCACACTTGCGTGACCAAGTATGCCAGGCGAATTGGTTCTTGAGGGTGCTAAGCTCACATGCTTGTTTATTTTGTTTTGCTATTGCACATATATATTATTGTGATGACCTCTATTTTGCAAGTTTTTATAGGATTTTTCTTTGAGCTTTATTTGATACAACTAGGTTAGTGCAATTATTTATGTAATAAGTGAGGATGAGCCGCTATCTAATGATGAATCGAGCACTACACAATGAAGGAGAAGCAGTTGAAGTTTGAGAAGAAACCCATACTGCCATAGTTCTAAAAATACTTTGGGGTGTATATGAGTAAGAGCTTGGCAGCTCTTTTTTTTGTTTGGGAAGGTGTATCATGGTACTCAACATAACAACCTTTTATTATTTATTTGATTTGCTATGTTTTCTTACTTGTGCATGTGATTTATTTACTTTATCTATGCACTAGAAAATACACATTTTTTATAGATTTGTTTGTAGGATTGTGTGTTTAAGAGCTAACTTAGATGTTCATCAGGCTCTTAGGGTAATTTTTCTATTCCTTCTGATAATTTCAATAAAATTTTCTAAAATCAAAACTCACAATCTAAATAAAATAAAATAAAAATAAAAAAATAACAACGAATCATATCCCTAAAAAATTGCATTGCATATAAATAACATTTAAATCCAAATAGAAACCAATAGAGTCGAGCTTGAACATCTATAACATTCATGCATATATGTCATATTGCTTCTCCACCTTCCCTTTTAGCATCTCTTATTACACTTGAAGATCAAGTCACCCTTTCATACTAGACTTTTCAAATGTGTGAAATTTAAGGATAGCATAATCTCTCTCAAAGCATAGCACAACAAAAATTATAAAAATAATTCAATTGAAATTAATTAAATCATTTCTCATGTAAGTCATCATTTGTAAGATTCAATCACATATCAATCGACTCAATTACCTAATTCAATTATCGAGATAAAAATAAAAAAATAATTAAATATTAAATAATAAAAAATAAAAATAAATGATTATATTAGTTCAAGTGCATGTGTCTACCTAGGAAAAAATATTACATCAGTACTACACACGTAGAGTAACGTGCGTAGCCAATGAAATCACGCCACGATATTCCGCGCGATACAGGCGCGATACAGAAAAAAAAAAACGGCGCAGTAACACGGGGAATATTCCCCCCGTGTTATTCATGTGTTATTATGTGTTATTGTGTCCTGGGAATATTCCTGGTGTTATAATAACACAATAACACATGAATAACACATGAATAACACACAATAACACAAGAATAACATGGGAGAGAATATTCCCCCGTGTTACTGCACCGTTTTTTCCTCTGTCGGGAATATTTCCCGTGTTATTCAAGTGTTATTGTGTTCTGAGAATATTCTTGGTGTTATAATAACACAATAACACATCAATAACACATAAATAACACGCAATAACACATGAATAACACACAATAACACATGAATAACATAAGGGGGAATATTCTCCGTGTTACTGCGCCGTTTTTTTTGCTCTGTCGCACGAGATGTCGTGGCGTGATTTGATTGGCTACGCACGTTATTTTTAGGTGCGTAGTACTGATGTAATATTTTTTTGTCTACCTAGGTTTCTCAGCTTTATCCTAGAGATCAGTGATAATTCATGGAGTGGCGGGTTTAGGGTTAGCCCTATTAACATGGTTTACCCATTACACCTACTAAATTCTACCAAACAAAAAAAAAATCTGGATTTAATAAATCTATAAATTCTTTTTTAATATAATAAATTCGAATTTAACTTCCCGCAGCTAAACACCCGTAGTTGTCTGTGAAGCTACATACTTCTTGTTTGTCTTATTACATCTACACTGCAAGCACTTGAATTAAAGCCAACGAGCTGTCCAACTCGAGATCCATACACTCTGTGAAGGAAGGAGAGAGGCCCATAACCAGTATGGTCGAAGAAGTGGCGGAGAAGGTGGAGGTCGGAGGAGAGGCTGCTACGGCAACTGAAACGCCGAAGTCTTCAGAACCGCCGAAGGATGTGATACCGCCGGCGGGGGGGGGGAAGGGAGAAGGTCGATGAATCGAAAGCTCTTGCAATCGTGGAAAGTAACGGCTCAAAGCTTTCCTGTATTTTAGGGTTATCTTCTCTGTTGTTTCATTTCCATTTTAGTTAAATTTTTTAGTCTTTTTTACTTGCTTTAATTATTACTTAACCCTTGAATTTTCGTTTATTCTACAATTGATTTTGTTGTTATGTTGAGAAATTTCGTAAAAATAGTTTTATTTTTTTCATAATTTTTTGTTGAAGGAAACTAGTTTTAGGTTGTGTGGATTCCTTGTTTTCCTTTATCTTAAGTTGGTCTTTCGATTCTTATAATAAATGTTTTGATTCAAATGGATTTTACTTGTTCTTTTGGAAGCAAATCAAGTCTATCAGGAAATTAATTTTTGTTGGATTTGTGTTTTGTAAATATGCTTCTGTTTGATCTGCTTGTAAACATGTTTTATGTTCTCTGTTTTTACCAATAGAAAACAAGTAAATAAGGCTGATCATCTGGTAATTCAAAACGCAAATAAGATTGTTTAATTTATTTTATTTTAATTAGCTAATGTCATATATGAGTGAAATTATATGTTAGATTTTGTGCTACATTCTTTTATTGGATCTCAATTTATACTGTTACAAATAACTCTCTTCACAACATAATGATTCTGAGATTTTTTCAGGCTATATTTAGATAGTTTTGAATTGAATTTTTAATTCCACTCTTCTATGTTTTCGTTAATTCTAGGAGGCAATGGTTGAATTTCTATATGAATCATTATTTTGTGCAACTATTATTATGTTAATTTTTAGATTTATTTTAGGATTGTTATAATATAAGTCTTAATTAAAATTTTTTATGCATTGAATTTATGTCAAAATAAATTCTAATAATTTTATAATCTATTTTAGCAAAAATTTAATTGATATATAAATATAAAAAATATTTTGTTTTGATAAGAACATGTATACAGATCATTATAATTTTATTTTTGAATTTATATAACATTAAATTTTAGTAATTTGACATGTAACATTTTTGTATTTTATAAGAAAATTTAGAACATTTTTTTATTTAAAAAAAAATGATAATTATTATACATTAAAAATTTAATTAGTGCCAAACAAATCTTATGGTTCCTCCCCTGGATATGTTCCACCTTCACATGAAATAAAACAAATGTTTTCCTATATTTTTTAAAGAAGGCTACACAAAGCACAGAGTTATTGTAATAAATCTGTACTTTGTGTACAGATAGCTATTGTGCTCAGTTATTATTCAAATTTTGTTATGGCTCTTTTCACATTTGGGGAAGTTTAGCATTGTCTTCTGTGCCTCAATAATTAGATGAATGATTTTGTAAACTTGCTTTCTCTATTTAAAATTGTGTTAATTATTTTTCATGTGCTTTTCTATCAGCCATTCTATCAATCTTTCAACAAGTTAAATTTACCTTCAACAGTAATCTGTATTTTGGTATAAAAGTGTCATGGTTATTTCTTAGTTTCTTAGAATATAGTTCTTTGTAATATTTTTCATTGCAACTAAACTGATAAACAGCAAGAGAAGTCGAGAGATTTGGGCGGTGGTCCCACTGCTTTCGCAATTTTACAGGCAGCTACATGCATTTATTAAATTTAAGTAGATAGTTATTAGTTGTAAATCCTTCTAGAGGTAAACATTGCATGTGCTAGTTTTATCACATTTTTTATTTTCTCTTCTAAGTTATTATCTTTGCCGTCTTAAAGTGCTATATTTTTTTCTACAATTAAGACGGATTTTATGCATTTGGTAAATCTCTCTACTATTACAGAAATGAAAATCTTCTAGCTAATAGAATGCCCTTTTGATGCTTTCACTGAATTTCGCATCCCCTTCTCTTGATAAAGTTTGTGTTGCTGAACTGTTTTATATGCACTGCAATCACCAGTTCCTTATTTTGTGCTGATTAATTGTTGTGACATCTTTGATTTGGCACTTCCCCTTCGTAATTTTTTTGCAACCAGAAAGTTTTTTGTTGCATTTTGTGCTGCTACTTAAACGACTACTAAATTTTCTGCTTTTATATATTAAGATTCTTGGCAGTTAATTCTGTTTTTATTGCATATGTATAAATCTTAACAGCTATACTCGTGACATAAGTATTGACCTATGATCTTTTCTTTATTTACAGAAGCTACAGATCCTCCTCCATTGGAGAAAAGCACGGGTGGTTCAATAAATCGAGGCAAGTATTCAAAGATTTACTATTATAAATGCACAGATTCAACTTCAAAGTCTTCTATTATTTTCTCACACAGGGTTATTAATAAATTTCGTAACTATTTGTTCAGATGCTGTTCTTGCAAGGGTTGAAACTGAGAAGCGATTGTCATTAATAAGGGCTTGGGAAGACAATGAAAAGGTCAAAGCTGAGAATAAGTACGTGCTTTGAGAGCTTCATAACTTGGTTCAAGGCTATTTCTTGTCTTTACTTTAAGACCAGCTTGGCCTACTACAAGTGAACTTGAGTGTTTAATCAAAAAACCAGCCCTAATTACAATGAGGCTAATTATAATGATGATTATAACTTTATAAACTGAAATAGTTATGAATTTTGGTAGAGGGCCCCCATTAAGAACTATGGATGAACATAAGTTGAAGTCATCTGTCTCACAGTTTATGCAAACAATTAGCCGATTGGAGGTGTTTTTTCTCTTATTATTATTTGACTATGGGCACAATGCTGCACCTACTCCCAAAAAATATGATCTTTCCTGAACATTTTATAATAGTTGTATTCCCAGAAACCATCTTTTTCAAAATATTTTTATGATGTGGTAAACTTCTAGTAATTTGTATGTCTTCTTTTGAGGATGTGAAACCTTTGTGGCTCAAATTTGAACTCAATGCACTAATGGTTAAACTAAGGTTAAAAGATTGCGCCCATGCGATTGGCAATTGCTTAGTAAATCTGGACTAGCATGTTCTTCAACTTGTTGATGTGAGATAAATCTAGTACTATTTCTGTTCATAACAATTTTTAGTTTGAGCTCAACTTTCGTATGATTCTAGCTATACCATCTCAGGTATATGCTTATGCTTTTGGGGATTTTTAAGTTGTAATAAATGCACTCTTTTTCAAATTTCGACATATATAGATGCAAAAATTCATGTTCTGGCTTTATTCTGGTATTGATGTTTTTGCTTGCGTCTTTATGTGGTTCCCAAAGAACAATGAGATACCTGTTCTTTGAAATTCGTTTTTTATCTTTTAATTCCTCAAGTGAAACTAATCCATTCGCTATATCAAACAGGGCAGTTAAGAAGGTGTCAGCTATTGCTTCGTGGGAGAACTCAAAGAAGGCTGTTGTAGAAGCTGAACTGAAAAGGATAGAGGTTTGAGAGCTCTCTACTCATTCTGCTGTATGAACAATTTTATGTGATTTAACATTTAGTTTTAGTGGACAAATTTTGTGAGCATATTTTGTCAAATATCCGTGATAGGGTTGGTGTAGCTCTAGTGACAGGCAAAATTAGAGAGAGTCGTCTTAGATGATTTGGTCACATTGAACATTGACCATCTTAGGAGAGTATATGTTTTAGATTCAACTTATGTTAAGAAAGGCAGAGGTAAACATAAGAAGACTTGGGCTTACTGTATAAAAATGACCTTAATTTATTAGATCTAAATGAAAATATGACACTAAATAGGACGCAATGGAGAAAAAGGATTCATGTAGCCGATCTCACCTAATGGGATTAAGGCTCAGTTGTTGTTGTTGTAGTATTTTGTCAAATATCCAATACTTGGGACTCCTTCCGGTTTTTGTGGCCACTTCTTTGGTTTGATGAGCTGAAGAACTAATAACTATATGAATGGCATTCCATTTATATTTCAATAGCATATAACTAAGAGTAAAATCTGTTGATATCTAGATGTTTTGACGAGTGGTGGAAAAAAGAAATATCATAATCACCTTTGATCATTTAATGATATGCCATTGTTTATTTTTTCTGATAGTTCTAAATTAAATGCATTGCATTTTATAAAGAGTATTGTAAATTGAATAGTTTTGATATTGTTGAATCTAGATTTGTCCTCTTGAGGCATGCCCACGGATCGGAATGGTAGAAACCTTGAGGGAGAAGTAGAGAGAGACAGAGAGGGAGAGAAATAAAAGAGCACACACAAATATGCCCTGTAGGGGCGAACTGGAATATTCTCGGGCTTTACCCATTTTATATATTATAACTGAGGTTTATAAGAGAGAAGAGGAGAGAGATCTCCCTACAAGAGTGAGTATAGAGTAGGAAGAGCTCAAGTGGCTAAAGCTTAGAGGTAAAAGCCAAAAACCAAAGCTTAGAGGTAAAAGCTAAAGGCAAAAAGCCCCTAATACATGTTTTGAACCCCCTATTTATAGAAGATAGTGGGCCAAATGTGAAATATTACATGGCTACCCTTGCTTTCATAGGGGCGTTACATGACATTATTGTTTTTTGTCGTGCCTTTTTGATATTTGTAACTGATTCTGACACCTTTTTGTGTGGCTTGGACCTTCTGCTCGGCAAGTCTGCGAATCGGCCTACCATGCTGGAGTCGGTCAATTATTTTTCCTGGGTGTTAGTCGGCATTCACTCTGGGAAGCCAGCTTCGAGTGTGGAAGCCGGTTGGCCTTAGCATTGTCGGTCAGCTTTCTTGGTTATAGTTCCTTGGTGATTTCTGGAGATTTTTTGGGGAGTTGTTGAGAGAGCCTCACGTTTATGGTTGTGGCATTGGTGTGGGTACTGGGCTTTTATTTTGTCATTGATGTGAATGTCTTTTCCTGGTTGGCTTTGGTGGCCCTTTGGTTGTCAGATGAACCTTCAATTGATCAGCATTTCTACGGCCGGTCTCTAGCCCTTCGATCGGCTAGCTGTTGGCTGGCTGACGGTTCTTCAGCTAGTCGGTTTCTTGAATACTTGTAGTTTTTCGTCAGAATGATGATCTTTGTTTTACTTCTTTTAATCTAGGCTGTTAGTTTGTCTCAAGATTTTTGGGCGTATAGACTTCTTGGATGATTTTGTTGTACAAATTAAATATAATCAAATAGCTTCTGGGTGCCTTTTTATAAGTCTGAGCACAAACATTGGAAACAGATTTCCTTCCTAGAATAATTGTTTAAATGAAACAAAAATTGAGCTTGCTATTAAAACTAAACTTTGATGAAACAAGCAGGAAGCTCTGGAAAAAAAGAAGGCAGAATACGTAGAAAAAATGAAGAACAAGATTGCTTTGATTCATAAGGAGGCTGAAGAGAAGAGAGCTATAGTAGAAGCCAAGCGCGGTGAAGAAATTCTCAAGGCAGAGGAGCTGGCTGCAAAACACAGAGCAACTGGAATTGCTCCAAAGAAACTGCTTGGATGTTTTTGAGGACTGAGGATTGCTTTTAGTCATTTTATCTCTTGTTATGATGTTATGTTGATTTATTGTGAGTACTGATTTCTGCATTAAATTTCAGTGTGCTCTGTAAAGTTTCATGTTTCTGTATATAGACTTGTAATTTCATGAACATACTATATGCGTATTCTTTAGTCTTTGATGTCTGAACTGATATTTTTGTTCTAGAACATGCTTGTAACTTATGTAGAACTGGAAGATTGATCAAATGTCTGTCATAATATGTGTTGTTGCGTTGAATCTTTATTCCAAAAACATGTTTTGAGGTTAAAATTACAGCATCGAGTCATTTGCCATCAATTTTTTACCAATTTCATCCTGTAAATTAATTGGTTTAATGTTCAGAATTGAACCGAATTAGTAATAGTGCTCGAATCAAGGTGCAAATTAGCTATTAATTTCCAGATTTGGCTTAAGCTAAATATGTGCTTTTTGCAGATCTACGTGATTATCCAATTTACTGTTAACAGTAAAATAAAGAATGATCTTCCAAGCAGCTATCGGACCGGTTGGTATTGTGTAGCTTTCACAACCTGTATACGTAACCAAATGTGGGGCCAAACAATAATTGCATGTCATTCGCAACTTTAGGAGAGCCCTAATCATATAATCATACAAATTATGCCAACCACACAAGTAAGGTCTGATTTTTTTAAAGTTGATAATTCTTCTTTATTTTTTTGGAAAATTCATCATTCTTCCAAGAGAGAAATATTTGGGTATATATGCAGAGTTGCGTACGCCTGGTAGGTTACAGTGAGGGTATTGGGGGTTATATCCGCATTATATCTCTGTAATCTTTTTGTAACTTACCTGTAACAAGTAAATTCTGTGTTTCTATTTTCATATATTTCTAAGTTACAGAGAGGTTACAGAGGGTATAACGTGGATATAACCTCCAATACCCTTCCTGTAACCTTCTCCTTCCACAAATTAAATGACTTTTTTCTTGGATAATGTGAAAGAGCAGTGTTAACTTCTAATGAAGAGGTAAAAATGTAGTTTGATTACATTTACTTTCTCCATTGACTGCAACAAATTTATTCACTTTTACAAGAATTAAATAGGGGTGAGTAGTTCCACGTTCATGAATTCTCACAATGGCAATCATTTAATTATATCCTGAAGTAAGAGCCCAAGAATAATCTCAATTAAGGCAGTATATTCTTTTTCTTTCAGGGTTAGTACATACAAGATTATTTAGTCTAGGTTCTTTAGCAATTACAGAACCTTTTAAATGGTTGCTAATTGTGTTGGGGAAGATATAAATGTTTTGATTATAATGCAAATGCTATGATGGAACTTATAATTTAAATCATATAAGGAGCTAAGGATGCTTATAACCTGGTCTTACAATCATAGCTGGACAGAACGGCCCAGTAAACACAACTAATTGCATAAAATCGAGAACATTTTTGTTTGGTGCCAAGCTATGTATTAACCTTTGCAGGCTATACATACTCAAGCTTATGCTTATCATAGTAGTATTGTAAGTAAAATAGTTTAACAATTAAGTAAAACACCTCATTAAACCGTCACTTCGCATCATAATGTGCATAAAATGAAAAGTGTTAATTATACTCAGTGTGCGATAAGGATGATTTTCATTTATCTAAGGGTCAGTTTGGCACAGCGTATCAGCCGTGTTTGTGTTTTCAAAATGCCGCCTTCTCGTTTGGTTTCTCCATTTTCGGTGCGCTTCGTGATACACATGTAAAGTTTTCTAATAATAGCAGGCTGCGGGTTCGACCCTGCGGCCCATGTTTGGAGTTATTTTATTACCTCTCTGCCCTCGTCGCGCTTGCCCTCATCTCGTGCTCTAGGTGCCTCTTCGACTGGTAACCTCTGCCCCATCTCGTGGTTTTGATCGCTCCCTGGTTGTCCCTCTCACGCGCCTCTCTCATGCATCTCTCTCTGACGCTCTCTCAATTGTTGTCTTTTTTTCTTCTCTTCCTCTCTACGATCTGTGGTTGTGGTGCTCTATAAGTAATATCGTTGCCTTTATTGTGGTGATTTTTGATGGAATGACTTTTCTGTGATTAATATCATGCTCTTGTGGAAAATTTTGAAGGAATGACTTTTTTTTGTGATTTTTTTCCTTTCTCCTTTTTCTATGAGTAATATCATACTCTTTCGACTGTTGCCTTTTATTGGGTGTTAAATGTTGGACATGGGTGTTGAATTTGCTTTGATTATTCTCATGTAGAACATTAATGTATCATATGAAACAAAGTGGCCTATAATTGTCGATTTCTGCTGGAATTTGGGCGGTTTGCTTGTGACTGTGTTGTGGCTTTCTATTTTGGCTGGAATGTTCAAATTTATACTTTCTTTTGTATTTTCTTCATAGTTATCGCGGGTGTAGAAGTATTATAGTGCAACAATTGCTTTAAAATTCAAGGTTTTTTTTTTTGTTCATTTGAAAGGCAATACCACTAAGACAAAAGGTTAATGCTAGTAGTATAGAGCAGATTTTCTTTTTGGTGAAACTCAAATAAATGTTGACCACATTTTTTTTATAGGGTCATCTTTTCCTTAGAAGCTTAGGATCTAGCCATAGGACTTTTCTGTTGACTATCCTAGAAGCTTAGTGATGGAGCACCCACCCTATATAAATTCTAACCACTTCTTTAGTCTTTTTGAAATTTCACATGTGTGGTTTTGACTTCTAGCACTTGGAAGGTTGGAACTAACATGAGAAAGCTCAAATTGAGTCACTATAGGAATGTGAAGCCTTAGGGGCACCCTCTTTGACCATGGGTGGTTCATGGTTGGTTTCACACACACTTACACCCACCCCAAAACTCTAAAATCACAAACATCGAATCCATCTCCTTAACTCTTTGGAAGACTCACATGGGTGGTCCCAAGCCCTTGGCCTTTGGTCAAGAGGGCTAGGACCAACATGTGGAGACTCACAAAGGAGTTCTCATTTGATGTCTTATGGATCCAAGATGGTTTTTCATAACATGAATGATCGCCAAATTACCTTAAATTCTAAAAGATTTCCAAAATGTCCCTAATGCCCAAAATATTCTTTTTTCACCCAAAATCATTTCTAAACTCTTCTAAATTACCCAATTGGCCCAAAGTACCCCAAACTACCCAAACTTGTTCAATTGGCCTATGTTTTAAAAAATTACTAAAATGACAAAAATTTCACCAAAATTCACAAGTCCAAAATCCCACCAAATTGGGCCCAAATGTCAATTCAAGTTCAACAAACCAATTCTTCATGTCAAATTTCCAAATTCCACCAAGCTTAGTTCTAAGCCCCCAAAATCAATTTTGAAAAAGGCCCATCTTTATGAATTTCACCAAGCCCACCTTATTCAAATTCAGCAGCCCATTAATCCAAGCCCACATGATAAAGTTTTCTCATTATCCACTTAATAAAAAATCAAACCATACCCATGACATACATGCTTAAAACTCATCCATACTTAGCATTTTGACATCACCTCACCAAAATTCCAAAATTATTGAATTCCCTTTTCATGAAAATTGATCATGACCCATACATGTCATGAAGCCACTCATGGAACCATCCATGAGCATCATATGGGAATACATACCAAATGTGGCAAAAGGAGGGGTTTCTTTCTCCTCCCACCAAGCCTCTTACCCAAACCCTAATCCAACCAAATTCTTCTTCCCCTTGACAAATCAATCACCGAAAGCCCTAAGGGATTTGACCCAACAACTCCAGCCACCTTGGGAAGGATCTTAACCCACTTTCAAAGGGTTAAACCATGGTTAGACCAACCTAACCCAACCCATGACCTATTTTGGGGAAAATTGATATTACCAATGGTTGGACCAAATTGACTCCACATCTCCCCACACCTGAGCTCCCACAGTGTGGAGATGGCTTCCCTTGGCCAGCCAACCACCCTTGTCACCGGAAAACACCAAGCTTGAGAGCCCTAATTGGGGAAAACACAAAATTAAACTCACATGAGCTGGCTCACTGCCATTGGCCATTGGAGCTCTTTTTTCCTCCACCTAAGCTTCATCTTGGCCACCCTAGCCTGCTCTGTTGGTAGCCATGGACCTGCCTATAAAGCCACCACCTCCTCATGCCCAAAGGGGACACACATACTAGCCTTGGCGAAGCCCTGCCAAAATTACTCCAGACCTCCCCTCAGCCTTCCTATGCACACTTTAGCCATTTTTAGGCCATCTCCTCCACTGCCCACCCTTGATTTTGAGCTCAAAATCCATGACATTTCATGGCCATACCATAAACCTCCACCAAATTCCAACTGATCTCTTCAAAAGCTTTCATAGGATGCATGAGGAAGTTTCCCATCAAAATTGGTCCTTCCCGAGCCCTCCAACCTAGTCCTAGACCAAACCCAAACCACCCATTGATTGAAATCCGACGGGGACTTCACCTGAGCTCAAATTAACTCTTTGAGGAGGTTCGCCAGCTCACAATGATCGTTGAGAACAAATCCAATCAAGGCTATTCCTCTTGGACAAATATATGGACCAAAACCCGAAATCTGAGCCTAGTTTGGGCTTTTGTGAAAGAAACATTAATTTAATACGCATGTAACCGTATGGATTTATTTGTCTTGATTAGATAAACATATAGGAACAAACCACATTTAATTTGGTTAAGTATCAAACAAGGTCTAGAGGTTTTAATGTGAATGACTCTCAGTTTGAATCTGGTGGGGACGATGAACGGATGTCGTCCGTTTTCCCGTGTATTGGATGGACGATCAATATGAAGCCGAAAGGGAGAGCGATACATAAAGCGCGTGATGCGTGGAAGCTGATGCGGATGGCGACAACAAATCACAACAATACGCATGGGTTTCGATGACTCTGAGGAGGGACGTGGCGCTGACGTGGATAAGTAAGAAATAGGGCATTTTTATTTAAATAATTTAGTAACTTTGAAAAATCATATCTTGGTGTAGAAAAATCATAAAAAATAAAATAAAAATGTCTCTGTGCTCAGTGAACAGAGGAGAATTTATTGAACCAAAAATAAAAAATAATTGTCATGTATTTTATTTTAAATTAATTAAATACTCCAGAGAGTAATTAATTCATAATTAATTAAACAAGTATCCAAATGAATTGAAATTTTAAGGGCTTATTCCCACTGACATGGATCACCTTCTCTAATTTTCTTAGGGTCAGAGGGTCTCTCTATGATTGAAACCCTAAATTTCTAAGAGATTTGATAATATTATAATCAAAAAAATTTATAAAATAAAAATAAA